CCCCCACACACACTTTGGGGCCAGGGATTCCTTCTAGGCAGCAGAGGGTCTCAATACCTTGGGCAGTGCAGATGCACCTGGCCTCACGGCCCATGTGTCAGGTACATTTCGCTCTTCAGAAGAAGGATTCAAACAAGGATGTTACCAGACCTTTATGGCTTCGTATGACACTGCTTTGTATTTTGATAGGCAGTGATTCATTACTAGCATCAGTTCTTAAGCTTTCCCCCTCCCAGGTAAAGACAGAAGTGGCGCATTTCAGAACAGAATGGCATCTTGGGAAGGGCCACTTGAGTGGCTTCTCCAGTCACTGCCTAAATCTCCACTATTTCCTGGGGTGGGGTGTCACTTCACTAATAAGTGATGGACTGATACTGGGTCCAACTTAACAAGTCAGAGCAGCCTCGGAGCTGTGTAATGGAAGGACTGCACCCGTGCACGGCGCTCTCAGCCCTGTGCTATGTTACAAGGAAAGACTGACCAAGAGGCAGGTGTAGTGGGGTGACAAGAACGTCCGGTATAGGGTTAGAAGATGTAGAAGTAGACATAAAACCTGCCATCTAGTAAGAAATTAAACCCTGCCCCAAGAGAGGTCTGGTCTTAGGCTCCTGGGAGGCAATCTCTAAGCCTTTGGAATGGCCTGCCTTTGTTTACCCGGGGGCCTGGGCCACTCCAGATCGTCTAACAGCATGATTGATGGTGAGGGCTTTGAGTTATAGGGTAACCCCTGGACCTCCAGCGGGGCTGGGGCCCGAGGTCAGCCCTACGGGCAGTTGGCCATGTCTAGGTATTGGCTCTAACGTTAGTGCATGTGCTGCTGAAGCGAGCACAACATATTGGCTCTAGACACCAAGACTCAGGTGAGCTTCCCTGGCTGGCACACTCCATGAATATTGCGCACATCATAGCCCAGAGGCGTTAACCCTGTTCGTGGCCCCGTGGGGAGAGGACGGCCAAAGCCGCATCTGGAACCCTCCGGGGCCCTGCCCCACGCCTCTCTTCCTTGGGGGGCTGAGACCTGGACCCGTTCACTGTAATGAACCATAACCGCGGTGTGACAGCTTCAGGCGCCATCTGTGAGTCCTAGTGAATTGTCAAATCTGAGGGTGGCCTGGGGATCCCCGAATTTGCAACCGGTGTCAGGCCTGAGGATGGTCTGGCGGCCTGTTCCCTAACCTGGCACCTGCTCAGTGTGAGCTCAGGCAGCATTGTCAGCTCCCAGGGCCTCCGTTTTCCATCGGTCACGGTGTCAGAATACCTTAGTGAGGCACCTGTCACACCCTGTCAGAGCAGAAGCGCAGGAGATACGGAAACAGAACTGCCACCTAAAGTTTGCAAATAAAATCCACAGTCCTGTAAAGTCCTCGAGGTTTTGGCTAGTACACTAACTCTCACCCATACAGAACAAGTAAAACTGAAATCAGAAATAGACTGATCTCTAAAACTTATTTTAATGGCAAACTTTGGTTTTCTAGACACCAAATCTTGGACTCACATAGCAGCCAAGAGGCAAAATATACTGTTTCATTTCATCTCTTCTTTCTTCCTCTCCATTTCCTCCCTCCCTCCCTCCCTCCTTCCTTTTTTGTTTCCCTGACAAAAAGTAAGCCGAGAGGGAAAGAAGAATCAAAGGCCCCTTGATAATCTATGCCCGTGGTTCTCAACCTTCCTAATGCCGCGACCCTTTAATACAGTTCCTCATGTTGTGGTGACCCCCAATTTCATGGTTACAAATTGAACATAATTAAAGCATAGTGATTAATCACAAAAACAATATGTAATTATATATGTGTTTTCCGATGGTCTTAGGCGACCCCTGTGAAAGGGTCGTTTGACCCCCAAAGGGGTCGCGACCCACAGGTTGAGAACCGCTGATCTATGCACTGAATCCTCCCCCTGGGTAGCCAGGACTAACTGCTCCGCTTTGGCGCTCCCTTGAAGGGAAAGGGCGCTATCCTCTCCATGTTCCTAACCCCGAGAACGTCACACAGCAGGTCAGCAGCAGGAGGGCCCGCAGGATGCTCTGGGTCTTTCCTCTTCGCCAACAGCTTTCACAGGTTCACGTCACCTACATGTCTGTGCCTGTCAGTGTGCACATGGCAAAGAACCGGCAGCCCGCCGACAAAGGCTGCGGCGAGGACACGTTCGAAGAAACCCTCCTCCTGGGGACCACTGCCTCTCCACACCGCCCTCTGGCTCGGAGAGGCCTTTATTCTACCCCAAAGTTTACCTTCCAAACGTAACAGACACGAACAGCCCGGGAGACACAGCTGATCCCCAGGAGGCTCCCAATCCCGAATGAAACCTATTCTAGAAAACAAAGGCCTAGAAGTAAGATGCCTTTCAGAAAACTTACCGTTTTGGTGACCTCATTTTCAACTTCATGTAGGTCCGAATGTTTCTCCACGGTGGAATTGGGAAACGTTTTCTTCAATTTAAACTCTGTCACAAAGGTTCTAACTGAAAACAAAAACACAACCCGTTAGGCTACACGAGAGGTTGACCTACACACGGCTGAGTGTCTGCAAATTTCTGGGGTGTCCGGCTTTATCCCACCTCGAAGACCATCTCTGTGCAGTTCTTTCTCCTTGAGGGTGGAGACCACCTCCCCTCTCTGGGCTCCTCTCCAAGAAGGTGAGCACCTACTGAGCTGAGCTGATGGCTCAGACTGAGTAACTCTGTGGGTGAGAGACTCCAAGGAGCCCTTTGTGTGGAAGGGAGGGCTGCTGAGAGGAGCCTTCCTGACATCTCTCTAACGGCCTCCCATAATAGATGCCCAGTATAGCTGTGACAGAGAAGAAAGATGAGCTGGCCTAAACTACATAATCCCAGGAGGGAGACATGGGGCTAGACACAAAAAGTGCTCCTCAGGCCCCATAATGCTTTATTTACTAGAGGCCCAGTGCACAAAATTTGTGCACAGGTAGTGTCACTAGCAGCTGCTGGCTGCCAGCCAGGGCCTTCATTCATTCCGCGCCACCCGCTGGTGGTCAGCGCACGTCATAGCGAGCAATCAAACTCCCAGTCGGTCAAACACCCAAGGGGACACTTTGTATATTAGGCTTTTATATATATAGGGCTAGACAAAAAAGTGCTCCTCAGGCCCCATAATGCTTTATTTACTAGAGGCCCAGTGCACAAAATTTGTGCACAGGTAGTGTCCCTAGCAGCTGCCGGCTGTCAGCCAGGGCCTTCATTCATTCCGAGCCACCCCCTGGTCGTCAGCGCACGTCATAGTGAGCAATCAAACTCCCAGTCGGTCAAACACCCAAGGGGACACTTTGCATATTAGGCTTTTATATATATATATAGATTTCAGAGACGGAGAGAGAGATAGAAACATCAATGATGAGAGAGAATAATTGATCAGCTGCCTCCTACATGCCCCACACTGGGGATTGAGACTGCAACCCGGGCATGTGCCCTGACTGGGAATCGAACTGTGACCTCCTGGTTCATAGGTCAACAC